CACACACACACACACACACACACACACACACACACACACACACACACACTCAGATGATCAGACAGACAGAGTATATTTAAGTTCCTCCTTCCCAATTCCAGCACTTGGTCAAGGCCAGGGCCTCCTACCTTTGCTGAGGTCATTGGCATCAAAAATGCCTTTGACTGGATAACAAGACCGGCCGTCACCCCCACACTGTAGGCACTTATCTTCTTTCTTAGATGAGTAGAGCATGTGGTCACAGCCAACAGCCTGCCTAGGCCCAGGTGCAGGAGAGGAAGCAGAGAGAGAAGACGCCAATCTCGTTAAGGATCAGATTGAACAAAGGAGACTAGGAAGTCAGGAAAAAACAGCCGCTCACATCACGGATGATGGAGTTGTGGAGGCCTTTCTTCTCCTAGAAGCCTTCCTTGAGATCAGGGACTGTTTAATTTTTTTTGTCTTTGGCATCCCCAGTGTCTGTTACAGTGCTTGGCACTGGGGATGCCAAAGACAAAAAAAATTAAACAGTCCCTGATTTCAAGGAACCTAGAATCTATCGGGGGAAGATAACATGTATACAGAAAATTAAATGCAAGATATATACAAAGAAAGCTACTATAAATAAAAACAATTTCTTAGAGGAGGAGAATAGCGACTGGGGGGGAATCAGGCTAGACTTCTAGTAGGAGACGGCACTGACCTAAACCTTGAAAGAAGTCAGGGATTCCTTCAGGTAGAGGTGAGGAGGAACTCAGTCCAGGTATGGAGGATGGATGGCCTGGCACCAAGATGGGAGAAGGAAAGCCATGGAGAGGGAACAACAAATAGGCCAATTTGGCTGGAATGTAGAGTGTGTGAGGAGAACAATGAGCACTAAGTCTGGAAAGGGAGGTTAACATTTATTAATATGGGTTTTGTTTTTTTCTTTTTTAAATTTTTTTTTGGACGGTGAAATGAGAAGGAAATAGAATTAATTTTTGTTAATTAAAAAAAATTATAGAAAAAAAGATAGCTGGGATCAGATGGTGAAGGGCTTTAAAAACCAATCAGAGGAGTTCATATTTCATCCTCAGGACAAAAGAAGCCAGTGGGGCTCCCTGAGTAGGGGAGTGACATGGTCATGCCTGTGCTTTATGGATATCAATTTGTGGAGGACAGATTGGGGAGGGGAGTGACTTGAGGCAGAGAGATCAATTAGGCTGTTGAAATAGTCCAGGCAAGAATTGAGAGGGTCTGAATCCGAGCAGTGGCTGTGGTGAAAGGGATGGATACAACATGGATTGTGGAGACAGAATTGACAAGACTTGGCAATTAATTGAATACAAAAGGTGAGAGAGATGGAAGAGTTGAAGGCAATTCTGAAGTTGAACATCTGGGCAACTAGAAGAAAAGTGGTGGTCTTAACAGAAATAGGGAAGTCAGGGAGGGGGAAAGCTTTGGGGGGAAAAGATAATGGGCTCAGTTTTGGACATGTCAGGTTTGTGATACCCATGAGACATTCAGGTGGAGATGTCTGATAGGTAGTTGATGCTGTGGGACTGAAGCTCAGGAAAGAGATGAGCTGACTATACATACACACCTGGGAGTCATCTGATAGAAATGCCAGCTCAATGTATGGGAGCTGATAAGATCAGAGAGGGGGGAGGGAGAGGAGAAGGAAGGAGGGGAGGAGGAAAGGGAGAGAGGGAAGGAAGGAGGGAAAGGCAGAGAAGGGGAAAGGGAGAGGGGGAGAGGGAGAAAAGAGAAAGGGAGAAGAGGAGAGGGAGAATAGAGAAAGGGAGAAGGAGAGAGGGAGAAGGGGGAAAAGGAAAGAGGGAAGGAAGGAGGGAAAGGCAGAGAAGAGGAAAGGGATAAGGAGGAAAAAAGGAGAGGAGGGAAAGGGAAAGGAAGAAAGGGGAAAAGGGAGAGAAGGAGGGGGAGAGAGAGAATGAGAATGAAGAGGACTTAGGACAGAACCTTGGAGGATATACATTCGTGTATAGGGAGTGGGATGTGGATGTTCCATCAAAGGAAGCTAAGAAAAAAGAGTCAGACAGGTAGAAGGAAAGCTAAGAGAAAGCATTGTCATAAAAACCTAGGGAGGTCAGCATCTAGAAGAGGAGATAGTGATCCGCAGCGGCAAAAGCTACAAACAAGTTAGAAGACTCCAAAAAGGCCACAGGGCTTGCCATTTAAGTAGACAGACAAATCTTAGCCCTGGGGAGGGACCATGAAAGGCAGAGAGAGGGCAGGCCAGTGGCTTACCTGACAAGTGCCCTGCACACACACATCCAGTTTGCCCGGCTCACACAGGGTCCCGTCCATCACTGCCTCCTTGTGTCTGTAGTAGAAGTTCTCCCCCTTGGGGATACAGTTCAGCTCACATTTGTTGGCAGCTAGGGAGGAGAGAGGGAGGAAGATGAAATCCCAAAAGATGAGGTTTCTTTTCCTGCTCAAAAACCAAATGGCCTGTCCTTATAGTATCCTAAAAGCAGATGCTAAATATGGCAATGCTTAAATATTCTATTAACTAGACTATCCAAATCCCAAGCCATGCTGGGTAAACAGGAATTTATCAAATAAAGACCTCATCAAACTCCTCCCTACCAACATATACACTAGCCATCTCCCTTCCTCTCTCCACCATGATCCCCCCCCCACTTCACCCTCCTTGGTAAAAGGAGACTGAGAAATTCCAGACTTTTCAAAACACTGAGGACACCTTGAAGAGCTACCTGATTTTTGTTGTTGTTATTGGCTAGGCAATGGGGTTAAGTGACTTCCCCAGGGTCACACAGCTATTAAGTGTCAAGTGTCTGAGGACGGATTTGAACTCAGGAAGATGAGTCCTCCTGACTCCAGGCCTGGACTCCATCCATGGTGACAACTAGTTGCCCTATATATACACATATACATGCCTCCATATATGTATGCATGTGTATATAGCTGCTCTATCTATACACACATAATATGTGACATATATATTTGTGTGTATGTGTGTATATAAATCAGATATGGTATTTATTATTTCTCTTGTTTTAAGAGCAGATTTTCATCAGCCTTATTTTCAAAGTCCTTCAGAAATAGCAAAAAATCCTCTTCGCTTTATAAGTGGCATCATATTGGTATGGGAGTTTCCCCTTCCCCCATGGGTCTCTGGTATTAGGAGACTTCCTATGGTCCCAAGGCCCAGAGTCCTTGCTCCCATAGGTTAAGGATGGAGTCCTAGGTTTCAAAAGGGGACTAGCAAACTTCCTGAGGAACAAAAGTATAGCAGTCCCAGGGCATTCCGAGGAAGCCCATATCAATAAACAGAGCCATCCATCCTAGCTCTTACCTCCATAATATGGAAACCACTTGTATCTCTTTCCTTGGAATTTCTTGCCATCAAATTCTGCACACTGCTCTGCTCGGAAATCCTGGGTGCCCTGAGGACAGCTCTGCAGGGGAGAGAGGAAGAGGGCAGGATGGTGTACTGTCACCAGGAGGTGAGGGGGAGAAGGGAGAATCCAGTCAAATTCAAACCAACAAGCATACATTAAAATGTCAGCCATGTGAGAAGCACTGGGGATACCAACTACAGTTATCTCTTCCACATCTTGACTTTCCCCATTGAGGTTTCAGTATATCATGGGTCAGCACAAGAAATTGAATGGGAATTTGGGGGGAGTTTTGCAGAAATTGCAGATGACACAGAAAAAGTTTAGAAACAGAAATGCAGAAAATATATGTATAGTATTATATAATATCAACCCAAATTTTATAATAAGGTACAATAAACACCCCACAAAAGAAAAAGAAAAAATTCAGACTTCTTCTCTGGCACAATGAGAGGGACATTTTATGCAGATTTTACCCATTCTAACCTCCAAGATGTGGTAGGGATAACTGTAGTCCCTTCCAAAGCACAGAAGCTGCTCTCAGAAGCTATTTCTCACCCAGCAGGCTAGGAAGTCAAAGAATGTAGTAGACACAACTCCGAAATAGGGAGGATGAATTTCCAAATTCAATCTTTAGTCCTGATTTGCCATAGGGATTTTTTTTTGTTTGTTTTTTAAATTGTTCTAAATTGAACAAACACCAAATAAAATGTAGACACAGGGATTTAAAGCAACATAATCCCATGTGGAATCCTCTTCTAGAATCTTCCCCCAAAGGATTCCTTTGCCCCTATCTTGTAAAATACTTGGAAGTTTTTCAGGGAAAAACACTATTAGGGTGGGGGTGTGCAGTGAAATACAAATCTTTATCATCAAGATATTGTCTCAGCAACTCAACAATGGTGCTTAAGAGCAGGGGTCCAGCAAGTCAACAGATGTGCCTGAGGGACACAGTAATGAACTTGCTCCCCCTTTTTCCCAAGCTGCTAGCAAAAAACTAGAACAGCTCCTGGTTCTCCCTGGTGGAGGTCTTTGTGGGGTCTCCAATGGAAAGGTACGACCTCGAAATATTTCCCTGATGATGAACGGAGGTCAGACTCTTTCCCCAGCTCCTGAAGGAGATAAAGCTGCTTAAAAAAGGAGAGAAGAAATGTGGGTCCCCAAGACATCTTACCTCAATGTTGCATGAACGATAATTTCGGGTGGGTCCAATACAGCTGGTGCCTCCATCTCTCCTGAGAGACAAGTCCACACAAGGAAGTTGTTATCTGTCTATCTTTCCATCCAACCCAGTTCCCAAGGAACCCTCTTGTTGCTTCCTCAGACACATGGATCCAGGAGACTGTCTCTGACATACTCTGTTCTTTCTGTAGCCATAATCTGCTTAGCCAGCAATATTATGATTTTTTCCCCCCTCAATATTCCTCTGCAGTGTAAGGGAGGGTTTATGGGGAGAGGAATGAGAGGTGAGCATCAGGTAGTAGAAAGAATTTACTGGCTCTTGAGCCAAAGGACCTGAACTCAAATCTCACCTCACCTGGACTTGTGTCACCTTAGGCAAATCACTTAACCTCCCTGGGCCTCAGTTTCCTCATCTGTAAAATGGGATGGATGGTCTAGGTTCTCTGGAGCTATGATCCCAAGAGTCATTGAGAAGTAACAATAATTTTTTAAAAGCATTAAATAAATATAAACACAGATATATACATAAAGATACTATATGTATATGTTTATGTTATATATGTATATAATATTTTGTATTTATATTTACTTATAGATCGAGGCCTAGACAATAGACAGTTGACTTTGGAGCCCAAAACATTTGTATTCAAGTCTGTCCTCTGACATATAATGGCTATATGACCCTGGGTAAGTCACTTAATTTCTGAGGGCTCTTTTCTAAAATTATAAGTTGCAGAGAAGGTGCTAGACAGAGTTCCCTCACCTGAGAATTCCCTAGACCAATGAAATCTCAGGTCCAGTCTGCTTCCCCCTAGCTCATTATTTTTTAAAAATATGCCTAACCAAAGCATGGGAATATGTTTTACATGACTACACATGTATAACCTATATCAAATTGCTTGCCTTCTCAATGAGGGGGGGAGAGAGGGAAAGAATTTGAAACTCAAAAAAATTTTTAAGTGAATGTTAAAAATTGTTCTTACGTATAATTGGGGGAAAAATAAAATATTAAATTAAAACGAGTACATTTTTAAAAACTGCCTAGCCAAGTGTTTTCCCCCAACCTGGCAGACAGATTCTGAGACTCTGACTCTAATTTTTTTCATGGGAACCAAAAATAACTTCTCTCTCCTGAAGTCTGTCAGTAAATTGGCATTTCATGGGGTATCTGTTATGAGCACAGCTCTGTACCCAAAGATATGGGGACACGTGAAAGAATGACTTAGTTTCTGCTCATTAGGACCAAAGAGGCTCTTATAATTTGTCTGGGCCTGTGACTTCATTACCAGGGAACTCCTGGTGAGGAAGCTCTTTCTACAAATATAGATCAGCATTATACAGTGTTAAAAAATTGCCTGAGAAGCAAGTGACTTCCCTGCCCAGGGAGTCAGGGGCAAGACTTGAAGACAGGCCTTCCTGAATCAAACGTATGTCAAGAGTGAAATTTAACAAGAAAAGTAAACTGAGGCAATTCTCCACACAAGATAACAGTTTATTAATAGGACGCTGAACTTTTTAATAAAGGGATCTCTGGCCTGCCTCCATTTGTGCCAAAAGACCCAGAGTGAAGGCCAACAGGGCTTTTTAAACCTAGGTGTGTTTTCCTTCTGACTGGTCTGACAGTACATCACTTGGACCTCCCCTGGCAAAGCAAGGCAATCCCGATTGGTGGACATTTTAATGAGAAGGTGGGTTTAATAATTCTCAGCTCCTCCCTAGTATTTTGGGGGGGGGGCAATTATGTGAAAAGATTGATTTGCAGCTAGGGAAAGTGGGCTGGCCTTAAACTTGTGGCTGGCTGATTACGCCCCTCTCTGACACTTCAGGAATGCTAGTTGCTTTATGAGACCCAGCTGCCTCTAGCAATCTTAGCTGGAAAAACCGCCCCAGTCAGGATTTCCCCACTTTGTAGACCAGGTCACCTCCAACTTTGATTAAAGAAAAGCAAGGACAAGGGATATGTCCCCCTGGGGAGGAGCTCCCGCTGGCTTCTGTTCACCCAGTAATCAGAATTGTGGGTCCCTCTTAGGAGGGCCCTGGCCCAAACTGGTAAACAGCAGATGCCTTGGGGCCTGGGAGTGATCACATTACTAAGTCAGGCCCTTCAGAAACTCCCACTCTGGAGAAGTTGGGTCCGACAAAATAACAAAAACAGACGTATTACAGCATGATATTAATTTTCCTCAGGCATAAATACAAAAAAGAAACTGTAATTGTACAAAGTACCTTGTAAGTATAATTTTTTGAGAGGCATGTGGTGAATGAAGCATTGGACCAAAGTGAAGACCTGTGTTCAAAACTTGGCCTCAGATACTTACTAGCTGTGTGACCCTGCCCAAGTCACTTAACTTCTGCCTGCCTCAATTTCCTCATCTTTAAAGAACTACATGGATAGCTAGGTGGCACAGTGAATAGGGTGCTATGTCTGGAGTTAGGAAGACCCATCTTCCTGAATTCAAATCTGGCCTCAAGGGCAGCTAGGCCTCATTGGATAGAGCTCAGGCCTTGAAGTCAGGAGGACCTGAGTTCAAATCTGACCTCAGGACACTTGATACTAGCTATGTGACCCTGGGCAAGCCACTTAACCCCAATTGCCTCACCAAAAAAGCAAAAAAAAAAAACATCTGGTCTCAGACACTTACTAGCTGTGTTACCCTGGGCAAGTCACTGTTTGTTTTAGCTTCCTCACGTGTAAAATAAGCTAGAGAAGGAAATGGCAAACTGTTCCAACATCTTTACCAAGAAAACCCTGAATGGGGTCACAAAGAGTCAGACGTGACTGAAAAACAACAAAGAACTATATAATGTGTTATTTCTTTTAGATTCCCTTTAGCACCTAGCATAGTAAGTACTGCATAAGTACCTATAGATCTAAACTGAGGAGCAAAATCTGTACTTGACAAGGGAGACTAGAGGCAGAGAAACCTAGAGACAAATATATATGAAAATAGAAAATGTTGGAGTAAAAATATGACTTGATTTATAAAAATCAATTTATACAATCTCCTGGAGCATAAAGTAAGATCTGCTTATCTTATACTGCTGCTTGTTTCATAATCGTTAACAGGTGAACCGGGGAACCAATAATTAGTCTGTCTCGGATGTCACAATTTACTAATGAGGCTGTTTTTGAAAATTTAATCAGAAATTTCAATATTAGGGGCAGCTAGGTGGCACAGTGGATAGAGCACTGGCCCTGGAATCAGGAGGACCTGAGTTTAAATCTGGCCTCAGACACATAAACACTTACTAGCTGTGTGACCCTGGGCAAGTCACTTAACTTCATTGCCTAGCCAAAAAAAGAAAGAAAGAAAAAAGAAATCTCAGTACCTCTGGGAGTAGCAATGTCGCTCCTGGAAACTGACACCCCCACCGCAGGTCCTGCTGCATCGGCTCCACTCTCCCCAGCGGCCCCAGCCTTGGCTTTGCCTTCTCACCTTCCTTGCCTGATGGGACAGAAACACCCAGAAGGGTGAGTCAGTTGGCTAAGGTGCATCCACAAGATGGAAAAGTTCCAGGGGTCTATAAAGGGGGCTCAGATCAGAGGGGGAGGCTTCAGAAAGTAACAGCTCTTGGACTGAAGCAAGCAGAATCAGTGCAACCATTTATACAGTAACAACATTATAAGGAGAAATGACTTTTGAGAGACCTGAGACCTCTGATCAAATTCAATGACCCATCGAGATTCCAGAGGTCTGAGGAAGACAACAGAGGTGATGGCCTCAAGATACAGAGTGCCACACATTTTCAGACACAAACATTATGGGAATTTGCTTTGCTTTACTATACTTCCTTGGTACGAGGGTTTTTTTTTTCTTTTTTGCTATTGGTGGGGAGACCAAGCTGGGGGATAGGGATAAGGTAGAAAAACAAGAAAGAAAAGAAGGTCATTGCAGCATGTTTTTAAGACACGCAGAGAAGAGAGGGAAAGCCAGAAAGAAGCCCATTCAAGCAAAACAGCTTTGAAAGCTACAGGCTGAACTTAGAAAAGCAAACTGTAACAGATATAAGAAATTAATGCACATAATCCTCTTATTCTATTTTACGATGGATTTGAAAGTGTCCGTTTTACTTGATGTTTGTGAGGTTCCAAACTAAAATAATTTTTTTTCAATGATGATGATGATAGGTGGTGCAATGGATAGAGCAGTGGGTTTGGAATCCGAAAGACTCACTTTGCTAAGTTTTAATCTGGCCTCAGACGCTTACCGGCTGTGTGACCCTGGCCAAGTCACTTCACCCTGTTTGCCTCAGTTTCTTCATCTGTGAAAATGAGGTGGAGAAGGAAATGGCAAACCACTCGAGTATTTTTGCCAAGAAAATTCCACTTATGGTCACGAAAAGTCAGACAAGACTGAAAAATCATTAAACAACAGTGTTTGCAAAATACGTTGCATATCATTTGATATATAAAGATCATCATTTCATTGATTCTATTATTATCACCACCATCCTAGAGATGAGGAAACTGAGGCAAAAGAGAGGTTTAACTAGAAATTTGCCCAGGGTCACTCAGCTAGTATCTGAGGCAGGATTTGTACCCAGGCCTTCCTGCCTCCAAGTCTACTGTTCTATCCCCTATGCCACTGTGTATCACCAAAGCATCATCCTGATGTATGTAGAACATGAGGAAACCTAGAGACAGCTAGGTGAGTAGAGAGTGCCAGACTTGTTGTCAGGAAGACCCGAGTTCAAATCCTACTTGATATGATTCAAGGGCTAAAGTCCAGCCTGCCAAGCACCTGAAATTGCCATTATCAGAGTCATTCCTTTGAGTCAAAGTAATGTCTCCAGAAGGCCCAGACAAAATCATAACCATGGAATCTTAAGAATTAGAAGGGACCACAGAAGTCATTTGATCAAGTGCGGAAGAAGACAGACATTTAAGGATATGCCCAATGTGGGGTTTGTTTAGCTTGATTATGCTTATTTGTGACAAGAGAAAACTTTTTTTTCTTTTTTATAGGAAGGTTAGGGATAGCAACACCAACAAGAAAAGGAAGGAAAGAAAAGAATATCAATGAAGCATTTTTTCAAATGCATAGAAATAAATAGGAGGTTCAGAGGCAAACACAGATAAACCAAGCACCTTTGCTATGAATTGTATGTATGTATATACACAGATATATTATATGCATATGATACATAGTATATGTCATGCAGATATACATTACAATACACATTGCACATGCATGTACTTGTATGTGTGCTGTATATATTACATGCACGTACATGTAACATATGTATATTGTAGAAATATATTCTTTATTATGTGTATGTATAACATGTATATATAGCTTGAACATGTATATATGCATTTTTATATATTATATACATATAAATAATGTTATATTTCTATAACATACATGTGTTATATATACATGTATTGATTTATACCATGCACATACATGTACATGCATGTGTAATGTGTATGTATATCCCCCCAAAAGGAGAAAGACCTATTCATATAAAAATATTTGTAGCAGCTCTTTTTGTGGTAGCTAAGAACTGGAAATCAAGAGGATGCCCATCAATTGTGGAATGACTAAACAAGCTGTGATACATGATTGTGATGGAATATTATTGTGCTATAAGAAATGACAAGCAGCATGATTTCAGAAAAACCAGGAATGACTTACATGAACTGATGCAAAGTGAAGTGAGTGGAACCAAGAAAATGTTGTATACAATAACAGCAATATTGTACAATGAAAAACTATGAACAAATTGGCTATTCTCAGCAATATAATAATCCAAGACAATCCCAAAGACTCGTCATGAAGCATACTATCTGCCTCCAGAGAAAGAACTAATGTTGTCTGACTACAGATTGAAGTATGCTGTTTTTCACTTTCTTTCTTTCATTCTTTTTTTATTTGAGTCTTCTTATACAAAATGACTAATATGGAAATGTTTACATGATTGCACATGTATAAACTATGTTGGATTGCTTACCATCTCAGGCAGGAAGGAGGGAAGAGGAGGGAGGGAAGGAGGGAAGAGGAGAGAGGGAGGGATAGAATTTGGAATTCAAAACTTTTAAAAATGTTTTAAAATTTGTTTTGATATGTAATTGGGGGAAAATAAAATTTATACATCAAAAATAATATGTATATGTGATACTATGAGTGTACATAATGTACACTTTTATATTAGATATATTAATATATACAACACATGTTATATATACATATATACACATACACACATACACACTAAATTTAATTCATTAGTTCCAAAGCTGTCTGGCTTGTCTGTGTTTGCCTCTGAATCTCATTCTGTTCTACATACATACATACATACATACATACACACACACACACACGTGTGTGTGTGCACACACTTTTTTTCCCTGAGCTTAATAAATCAGTTCAAACTGATCCAAACCCTCTGAAAACTATTGTATAGTACATAATTCTTTATGACCTCATTCCATATGGAGGCAACTGTGGGTTCTGAAATGTTCTGCTCAGATAGCAGAGCAGGAAAGATCTGGAGTATACAGTAGGCCCGGCAACACTCTATATGCCTGCTGCCCACGACTCAACAGAATTAAGTGCAGCGAGACTCATGCCAGGCTGACCCCAGAAGGATACATTTATTGGCCACAGCAACTTTCAAAGATCACCAACCAAGTCACAGAGGAGCTGTGATCTGTGTTAATGGAAAGAGAATACACATTGGCGACATCAAAGATTCTTGAAGTATTCAAGTATAATTGATCTAGAAAGAAATATCCCCCAAATACCAAAATGGCCACAGCAGTCATTTTTATATGGTGGCAAAGAACTAGAAACAAAGGAGATGCCCAGGTGGCAAAGAACTGGAAAAACAAAGGTTTTCATATGTACAAAAATATAGCAGTTCTTTTTGTGGTGGTAAAGAATTGGAAACAAGGGTATCCATCAATCATAGAATGACTGAAAAAGTAAGTTATGATACATAAATGGAAAGTTTATTTACCAGGAAAATAATTTATACAAGGACAATAATATCATAAAGACAAATAACTGAAAGATTTAAGAACTCTGATCAACACAATGACCAACTACGATTCCAGAAGAATCATGATGAAACATGCTACTCATGTCATGATAGAGAAGTGATGGATTCAATGAGACATTTTCTTTTGGACATGGCCAATGAGGGAATTTGTTCTGCTTGACTATACATGTTTGTAAAAGAAGTTTTGTTTTTCTTGCTTTCTCAAAGTGGGAGGAAGGAAGGAGGGAGAAAGAGACTTTGGATGTGCAAATTAAATAAAATTTCATTTAAATGTAGGGAATAGTGGCATAAGGGTGCTGTGTAGCTCATGTATGTCATGTATGTCCTCCTGGATTTGTCCAGCAGTGGCTCACAGGAAAGCAAGAACAGACATCTGTGGCATCTCCTTTCTCCAGGACAGACTTCGATTCCCTCTGGGAGAGGAAGCAGAAGACTGGGGTCAGAGGCCGACCATTCTCATCTCCTCAGAGAGGAAGGGTACCAGGCTAGAATTATATCTACCTGCTCCCTTAAATATTATTTTTCTAAGGGAAGCAATTTTCAGGTTCAAGCTAAACTCCTGATCACTGTTCCTTAATGGGGAAGAGGAAAGGAATGCTCCAAGCTTCATATCCAAGGTTTGAGCCCCTTCTCACCAGATGCCAGTTCCATAATGAACACACATAGGAAATAGCAAATAAATCCAATTATCTGAATCTATAGCAGAACCAGAAATCAGAAAAAGTATGCATATGAGAATATATACCAGACAATACAGATGGAAGGAATTCAGCTCAAGCAAGAGAAAGAATCCAAGATTTTAGTCAAAGGGAAATTCCCTGAAATCTCTAGTATAACAAGCTAGGACTAGGGACATGATAACAACTGCTAGCTTCTCTACATGTTAGCTTCTAATTTGCTCTTTTTCTAGCTTTTTTTTTTTTTAGTTGCATGCCCAATTCATTGATCTCTTCTTTATCTGTTTTATTCATGTAAACATTTAGAGATATAAAACTTCCCCTAAGAACTGCTTTCGCTGCATCCCATATGTTTTGGTATGTTGTCTCATTATTGTCATTCTCTTGAATGAAATTACTGATTATTTCTATGATTTGTTGTTTGACCCATTCATTTTTAAGGATTAGATTATTTAGTTTCCAATTAATTTTTAGTCTATCTTTCTATGGCCTTTTATTAC